GTAGAGGAGGAAGGAGGGGAAGAGAGAGAGAGGGAGGGAGAGGGAGATGGAAAGGAGGGGGAGAGGAGGAGAAGGGAGTGAGAGGGAGAGAGGGGAAGGAGAAGAGGGTGGGAGGCGAAGGGAGGAGGGGAGGAAGAGGAGGGAGGGGAGAAGGAGGAGGGAGGAGATGAGAGGAAAGGAAGGAGAGAAGAGTGAAGAGAATGGGGGAGAGGAAGGGAGGTGTGAATGGAGAATGGGAATGAGAGGGCGGAGGGGAGGAAGAGAAGAAGGATGGAGGGAGGGAGAGAGGGAGGAGGAGAGACCGAAGTAGGGGAGGAAGGGAAGGGAGGAGGAGGAGAGGAGACAGAAGATAGAAGAGACAGGAGAGAAGGAAGAATAGGAGGAGGGAAGGAGAAAACTGAGGAGGGAAGTAGTGAAGGGAGGGAGGGAGGGAGGGAGGGAAGGGAAGGGAGGGAGGGAAGGGATGAGGGGAAGGAGGGAAGGGAAGGGAAAGCTGAAAGAATGAGAGAAAGGAAAAGGGGAGAGGAAGAGAAAAGGAAGGGAGGAAAGAAGGAGGAGAGAAAGGAAGGAGGAAGTAAGTAAGAGAAAGAGAGAAGGAAAGGAGGAAAGGAAGGAGACAAAGAGTGAGTAAAGATGGGAGGGAGAGAGGAACGGAGAGAAAGAGGAAAGAAGAGAAGGAGGAGGAGAGATAAAGAAGAACGAAAAAAGGGGAAAGACGGAGGGGAGAGAGAGACTCATGTGGAAAGAATTTTAAAAAATAAGAAGGAGAAAGAGGAAGGAAAAGGATAATAAAGATGGAGAAAAGAGGGAAAGAGAATTAAGGGACAAAAGGAGGAAGGGAGGAAGTGGAAGAACCGAGGAGAGAAGGATAGTGATAAAACAATAATAACAATAATGTTAATAATGATAATGATGATAATAATAATAATAATAATAATGATAGTCATGATAATGTTGATAATGATAATATCATAAACAATAATAATGGTGATACTACTAATAATAATAATGATAATAATAATAATGATAATAATAATAATAATAATGGTAATAGAGATATTAATGATAATGACAATAATCATAATGATAAAAAAGATAATGATAATAATGTTGATGATAATATTAATAATAATAATCAAAATTATAATGACAATAATGATGATAATGGCAATAGTAATAATAACCAATAACATTAGAAATTATAATATTAATAATGATAGTAATAATCATAATAACTATAATGATAATAATAATGATAGTTATGATAACGATTATAAGGATAATAACAATAATAATGATGATAATGAAGATGATATCAGCTATAACAATAACAATGATAAATGATGATAATTATAATAGTAATGAAAATAATAATCATAATAACAATAATAATAACAATGAAATTTTTATTATCATTATGTTTATTATTATTATTATGTTTATTATTATCATTATTATTGTTATTATTATCATTATTATTTTTACTATTATTATAATCACCATGATTATGAGAACTACAAAATCAACAACAAAAATAATAGTAATAAACATAATAAAAGTATTTTGATTATCATTATATATATATATATATATATATATATATATATATATATATATATATATATATATGTGTGTGTGTGTGTGTGCGTGTGTGTGTGTGTGTGTGTGTGTGTGTGTGTGTGTGTGTGTGTGTGTGTGTGTGTGTGTGTGTGTGTGTGTGTGTAGATATATGTATGCACACACACATACACACACACACACACACACACACACACACACACACACACACACACACACACACAGGTCTGGTCTGCATTACATTAAGTTTTCTGTTACCAATCTGCGTAACTCCCAATACAAATAATAAATGAAATGAATAATTCAGTTACTTGTGAAAACTATTTTAAAAATTCATACAAAACGCTTTTCTGGTACACCTTTAAGGAGATACACATCCAAGACGCGAAGCACAGAGAAACTACACACATACGATCATTACACACATACTCTGTACGGGTACCATTATATATCCAGCGCATAACATTGATTTTCTGAATAGTTAAACAAAGCTAAGTGTATATAAGTACGCGTATAGTTTACGAGTACAAACATTTCAAAACTCGACTTTCAACAATGTACTAATTCACTGCGTTTTAATACTCGAAAATTGGGAAAACAACTATTTTTAACAATATAATCATACACTGCGTTTTAATACCCGAATCACATTTAATACTTGAGACCTGGTGAATCAAAGAAGTTTAACAATATATTAAAAGCACTTCGATTAATCACTCAAGAGACATAGTTAAACACCTACTTTCAATAATGTACTTAATTTACTGAAGACTCACCGTGATCAATCCAGCCAAAAATATAGTAGCTTCCTTCATGATTCTTGATTTGGGGCAATTTCTCCCCTCACAGGACACACCACCAGCACCAGCACACCACCAGCGTTAATGAGGGACACAGCTTCCACGCAATGCTGTTATAACAC